ATATATATGCGTGTTAAAAACTAAAGCAATGTAAATTATAGGATAATATATTGTGTGCAATATAGCAAGTATAACTGATATATTACTAGCATACCATGTAAAGAGCATCGCAGTGGCGCTACAAGAACGATTTTAATCTCCCAAACGCAGTCTCTTTGGAATTCAGGTATGGACTAACTAACATACCAGTAAAGAGCATCGCAGTGGCGCTACAAGAACGATTTTAATCTCCCAAACGCAGTCCCTTTGGAATTCAGGTATGGACTATATAGCGGGAGGAAAACCACTCTCGCTCCCACGGATTCGATAATCTCTACCATATCTGCGCGATGTATAGCAGCGTTATCAAGAATCACAATGCTCAAAGGCAAAGGCCACGGATTGAGACGAGGCAGAATTTGTTGCCGGAAATGATTGTAGAAAGTCGGAGAGTTGTATGTCCCCATGGTTAGTGCACAGGCAAAAAGTCCAGATATGTCGCTAGCTGCCAGCACGCTAACACGGTTGCCACGTTCGAATGGACTTTTCACGATTATCTTCTGTCCTTTAGGGCCATAGCCACGATTCCGAAACGTTGAACGAGCATCGCGGGATGCCTTGTCGACGAAGACCAATTGATTCATGTTACTGTTAACCTGTTCATTTAAAATAAAAGAGATAGTCAGAGCTCTGAAGAAATTTATTTAAATATTTATTATATTGATACTTCCCATAGGCATAGATAATAGTTAATATCAAAATAAACCTTATCCACGATAGACAGGTAAATAAATCCAATTGTCCTTCAAATGAAGCATATCTGGCAGCCTTTTCCATTACCCGCCTCGTATACTTCAGGTCGAACTTCAGTATGCGAAGTATAGTGGTATATGATATCGTATTTCCTCCATCGGCAAGTTGTACTTGTCTCTGGAGTTCATCGAAATATATTGCTGGATTAGCTTTATACATGGCCTCAACTTGGGCTATTAGTTCTTTGGTACGCAACAAATCATCTCGACTCTTTCTTTGTTTGGTCACCTTCACAGGACACCCGGTGTTTAGCCATGTTTTAACTATTTTACGTGTTGAATTCTCTGAAACTCTAAACAATTATCGTATGTCATCGTAGGTAAGATGGTAGTAATACCAAGCGGAAATAACCAGCCAAGCTACATTCTCCGAAATCACCGTTATTAAATAACACTAGGACTAGGCGAGACGTGTGCGTAGAGTGATGTCTATATTCTCTATTTACTAACATCACAAGTAAAGATAAATATATATATGCTTGAACCAGTTAAAGATGAACCACTTTTTTTTAATTTAAAATAGATAGTAAGAGATAAGGATTTTTTTTGTTGATATTATCTATATCCGCCTACAATAAATATCGGGGAGATTGTTCACTGTCCAGGTTCTTACACCTTTTTTTTTTTGAAATTTAATACTGAGAGCCAATGGAATCAGCTTTAAATGGGATTTCTCTCAAAATATATCATTCTGAATATAATTACTCGAGTCTTGACTCTTGAGTCTTGAGTCTCGACAGTAAACAGTTCAATGAAAAGCGGATAGAAATTCGTTTTTGTTCTGCAAAATCTAAAATTTATACATGCCGTCTAAAATTCTAAATTACAATTTGTTTTTTTTGTTTTTTTCTCTTTAAAATAATAAAAAACAAGAAATGAAAAGAACATCCCTATTTATATTAAATTTTCTAATAGATTGATAGAAATCTCACCGCTCTTGTGAAAAAAAGCAAATCCCCCCCCCCCCCCCATTTCAAAATGAAAGGTTCTCTTAACTATTTTATCTGAATTTTCAATTCGCACACAGTTAAACATTGGTGAAACGGAGTTATCTCGCGACTCAAATCATGAGCAAATTGGATAAAGGCTGTAGTTTTGCGTCAGCATACTGGATCGTTTTTGCCTCAAATCTATTTTCTAGTGATTACTATCACAAGAGAGTACATATTTAGAGACTACCTCTGGGCTCAGGCTACTATGATAACTCAGAGCTCCGACGCATCTGATTATGTACGGACTGGATTCTAGAACGTTTTACGTTTACCCTAGTTTTTTGTATTTTGTGTTTTTTTTATATATACCAAAATTATATGTTTCTCGGTTTCCACTTTTGACTTCCCTCGGCACGGATCTTTTTTAGAAAATTGAATACAATTAATATATACATAAAATCACATGCTACGTAGCACACATTCGTAGTGCTGCAAGCAGTAGATGACAAAGTTTTGAACGAAAGCGTTGCCATAATCGAAGACATGGCACCTCTAGCACGTAGAGTTGTAAGTTTCCGTGGATTGTTTAGCTTAAACAAGTCGAAGAAAATCGCCGAGTCCGTCGTTAAGGATTTAGGGTGCACATCAAATTTGCCCGCCTCATTGAACACTGTTGAAGTCGCCACTGGTCCGAGATTGAAATCGATTTCTGAAGCCCCACTGGTGAATTGCGTAGATAGCAATTCTCAAGTATCATGCGAGGGTGAGATTGAGAAGTTGACCAGTGCTCTGAAGTCAACTAATCCTTACACCGACAACTTGACTCTAAGCGTAGTATCAGCTTTGGATATACAGGATAAGGAGGTGGACATTACTGACTGCCTGAGTGATTGCATTGATACTCATAGTGATAGTTCTGGGCTAATATCAGAGGTTGAGATGGCTGAATTCGCGATGCAGACAACAGTTTCTAATTGTCGCAATCTAGGTGAGCTACAGACGGGCCAACGAGTTATAAAATGTAACACATTTCCAAATAAGTCAGATGATGTAGAGGACGAGTGTGCTGAGCCAGAAAATACACTAAAAACATCAGAGCTAAGTCCGCGAGGGTACACGGTTTCTGACATTTCTGATCCAGAACACCATACCTTGAAGTGGAGTCGACACATAAAGCCTATTGATGGCCAACGTAGAGCTTCAAGTATTCACGGCCGTGTGGCTTCACCGATAGAGCTTTTATCTCCTAGGTCCCGTCGAACAACTCTGATGAGTTCGTCGGATATGAATCTGCATTGCATTAAAAGTTGTAATACTAGTGTAAAGGCCGTTGAAAGGAATAAATGGGTAGGGACGGTAGTACAACTTCTCCAAGACAGCGAATCTGGCGACGGGTCAAAACGTTCTAGGGTTTCTGACCCTGATAACCAGATAAATATAAAGTCAAAATTAGATAGCGAGCAAGCACAATACCTTCAGATGGAGATCGCAAGTTTATACACATTGCCTGCAGTGACAAGATCTCTAAGCCCAGCAGCTGGCGTCCCCTATAAAGCTGCGACAGTTCGAATTCTGCGCCAGGCAAGTCACAATGCGGTGCTCGATAACCAACCCCGAATATGGAGAGAAAATGAACACCCAGGGATGAAGAAAAGAGCAACGAGTTTGAGAGTTGCAAAACACCCAATAGGCAGTAATGTTAAAGAATATACCAAGATTCGATCGCAACCCAAACCAGAAAAGCCTAGAGCAACAATTGCTGGTTTGAAACGGCAAGGTAGTATACCTGCAGCCGACCTATCACTGAATGGGTTTCACCGGGTGCATGAAAAACCTTCCTCGATAGAACACAAAATAGCTGTAAAACGAGCCGCGAGGCAGACCAAGTTTGCTTTACAAACGACAGGAGAGTTCAATAGTCTGTTGGATATCCGTGGGTCGTCTTTTTCTGGCTGCGATTCAAGCCGGACTCTTCGTGCGCATTCATACACACCCAGGGAAATGCCAAGTACTGTAAACAAGATGCAAACACCTAGTAATAGGAAGACATACCATGGAGGCAATACATATGCCACTCTGAGATCGGTACCTTCCTTGACAGCCGTCACTCCTGAAAAATCGCAATTCCGGAAGAGCCCTGGCGATACAAGGTGGCTACCAGCGCGAAGGGCTGTTTTCAAACCGAGAGTGCTCCTCAATACAGCCACTACATTGCACACGACGTATGGAGAAGAGTACGACAGGACACCATGTACCGTATCCACGCTCACGAGAACCGAATTCCGGGAACTGATGGCATTCAAGGTTAACGAGATGTTGGTGCACTGTAATTCCGAACAAAGTATATCCTTCGCAAGCTTTCTGTCAGCTCGCCGCCCGCGCAAAAATTGAAGGAACTTGTGATAGACAAGCTACACTCTATAGACTGTTTACACTATATCTGTATGCAGTTCAAATCTTTGCATAGTTACTTGCGGCAGTGTATGTGATCAGACCCCTGTGCACAAACGAACTACTATCATTATAAAAATATCCGAAAGTTCCATATAAATATCTCGTAGCTGATGTACTTTAATTAGGACCGTCTTCAAAAGAATCTGCAAGGTCGACCTGTGGTTCACAAATATTGTCACCGAAGGTTGTTGTCTATACGCGACATTGGTGATTTTGTGATAGCAGACTGCGTCCAAATCTGCCGATGTAATAACTCGCATACAATACTAAAATCGATTGTTCAATGGCTATTTTGTGTAGTGCAGCTACTCTTATGTGTCACAACCCTAGCGTAGCTTTCAATTGCAGGAAGTATTAGTTGAGATGTTTAATTCAACACAGTTTCTATATTATTGTAAGTGCACAAGACTATTTGTATATACGAATGTCGGGATTAGGCCAAAATCAACCGACATAGCGATTGTCAGCACCGTTGAGTTCGGTTTGGCAATATCTACCGGTGTGTAAAAGTTTTCCATATGTCGAACAGCATCACATCAACAATAACAACATGATATAACAGACTTTATATATCCTTTATTTACATTATATTATTTATATTATAGTTTAATTATTAACTAGCATACGCGGTTGCTACGGCGTATTCGCCACTGTGACTAATTGACACCTTAATCTTAGTGACTCCAGCCTTCTGCATGACCACCAGAGCCTCACCGTGAAGCGCAACCTGTGGTGCCTTTGACACTGATGGGAGGATCTCGATATCCTTCAACCCAGCATGTGCCCCCTTCCAGCCCGCAAGTACCTCTACGTTGTAGTTGCTGATAGCTTTGATCACCGCCTCTTTAGCCGCCCATCTACCCGCAAAGCTTGCGCGCACATCGGGTTGGGCAAGGCAGTACGTGATTTCGCGCTCGGTGAAGTTGTTCTCGACAAAGACATCGTTGTCGATGTTGATAGTATCGACCTAGGTAAGGGATTAAAACGGGTGATAAGCAAACGCGATACGTGCATATAGCCATATAAATACATGGACATGTGACTAACCTCCGAGAATGATCTAGACCAACCCGACCACACACACACACACAACCACGAGCCATTCGCGTCAATCAGAAATATACGTTAGTACTCACCAGTTCGACATCAACACCCACTCCGCCAGCCTCAGCGTCCTCAATCCGTTGGTGTGCGATGGGGCCAAGTACATTACTCTTCAAAGAGTTCAGCAGTTGGGACTTGAGGTCATCTGCGCCTACGCCTTGATTGAGACTGCCACCCGAGGCCGCCTTGGTCGATAGCTGTGTGATGAGGGACAGTGTAGATTTGAGTGACACAGTTCAATCGATGTATGTATGCAAGCGTATCTGCATTGGACAATATGGTAAAGCACTGGTTAAGGTGTCTTCTTCGACAAGTTAATCTGTGACGTTCGATGCGGTAGGTACACAACCGACTTGCGCAGTGGTTGCATATGTATACATCCCAGTCACCATCAGACCACCACACCATACCACCACTCCCATGTACGCTATACTTCCACATGTAGTCACGATACACATACCGTAGGTGACGACTGACTCGATGTCTTGTTGCTGAGCGATCGCTTCGGGCTGGTGTGTGCACGTGCACCCTTAGCGGTGAACAGCCACGTGTCCGCCACGGGATCGTAGCTTGCACGTGCGAGAGGATTGAGGTACACAGCCTTCTCGTTGTCCGGTGAGTATGGTGGTGCGTGTTTCACACGGACATATGGCTTGACGCCAGCCATGGCATCCTGGGTGTACTGTGACGCACGGGCCTCTCTGCTATCTCGAAGAGTCGTGTACGTTGCCAACTGGAATGGTAAGAAAGTGAGGAAGATAGTTCGAATGAGTAGTGATCTTAGTATGTTGCTGAGAAGAAGTGTAGATGAGAAATATAGAGTGAGAAGAAGTATAAAGTGGTGAACGAATAGGATGCGACCGTTTCTGGTACCAGCCCCGAGCACACAGAAATATACAGTCCCCCACAAACATCTGACATCGCTCAGACTAACCTCTGTTTCGGATAGCAGACCTAGCACGAACGAGGGGTGGATGACCAACACCTCACCACCCACTTGACCAAAGCCGAAACTCTTCAGAAGTGCGGCTTTAATGTTGCGACTACCCACGGACACCGAGCGTGACGGGACGTACAGGTGTGAGTACTCTCTCAGCGCAATGTCCACGTTGTCTGTATATCAGGGGTAGGGTTTAGAATTTTTGGGTTATGAGGGGTAATTGATTGTAAGTAAGTGTACACCACATCCCAAGCATGCCTTAATAGGGAGCCACATTTGGGACTACTCAGTGTATGGTTAGAAGTCCCATTAACTTGGAATACCTTAACAAACACACTCACCTGCATTGCGATTGCCGGGGATGACGCCATCGGCCATGATCTGAAGCACACCGTTGAGCATCCATGCAGCAGCGGCACCCTTGGGGTGACCTGAAGGGAGGTGACGGGAGATACATTTGCGATGAGCACTTCACTTATGAATATATGAATATATAAATATATTATACATGAACGGAGGCATGCTTTAATGGAAAAAAACTTACCTGTCAAGTACTTTTGGAAGACACCACACACGGGGTTGCCTTCCGATCGGCCGAGATGGGCCATTTGCGAGTTCACTACATCGGACTCGTTGGTGTCATTCGCCTGTGTCAGTAGAAGTTGTTCAATAAGAAGTGTGTAAGAACCCAGCAAACACCCTGACTACCATAAATACGACCCAAACCATAGTCGGTTAATTCTTTTGGTACAAAGAGAAATGGAGGGGCCATTGAAGAAGTGCGTAGGTATCCTTTCAATAGACATACCTTAGTACTGGTGCCGTGGAACGACGCAACAGCGATGTCATCAACCGTCAGACCATACACAGCCAACGCTCCTCGGACCGGCGCGATAGCGGGGTCGTTCTGGTAGAAGTCTGACCCCCAAGTATGTTGTACAGCCTTACGCTGTCTCTCCGCATCGGCGTAAACTGCCTTCACTCGATCAGATAGGTCAGACTCGTACACACCAGCATCATCCTGTAGTAGCTGATCCAACTCGGCAACCTCATGGTCCACCCACGTGTTGATCTGGGCGTTCTGGAACTTCAGTTGGCGGGCACGATAGCTTAGGTCGAGCAGGTGGGATGTGTTCTTGCCTGTATATAGTATGAAGGCGCATGGCGGAGTGTTCAGGGTTCAGGGTTTGGGTTTAGAGGTATTTCCATTGAAACTGTAACTACAGGAATGACGAGTAGAACCCATCACTCCAATACTTGTATATATCTATCACTCTTATTGCTCAGATATAGGCAAACTTACCGTTCTTCTGCACCTCTCGCGCAGAAGTTAGGACACCTTGGCCTGGTGCGGGTACACTTCGGCCCTCTTTATCGGTGGCTGTGCTGGTGAGTGCGACAATACCGTAAATGGGCAATCCCATTTCTACGGCTAGGGCAGCGGACATCATAATCTGGTTACCGGCACCCTGATAATTAAATATACAAGATATACACGCTTTTGTGAGAAACGTGATATCCTATCTATGTAAATTTCATCAAACACCGTTAAGTCTTAGTGTTAGAGTTGCTCTTGAGAGTTACTCTGCACATACCTGCGACTCCATAAAACCACTGCGCGTGGTTGTGGTGGGGCGAGACATTTCAGCGGGAGTGCGCCCTTGTTTGGCCTCTTCAGTTGAGCTGGAGGTCGCCTTCATACTGGCGAACTCGTATGATCCCATTTCCTGTTATATAAATTGATATGTTGAGGGTGGCCAGATTTAGTATGCGCGAGTGGCGAGAGCCCTGGACACAATACAACTACCCGGTTTAAAATCCAGAACAATTGTTGCTGTGGCAGCTCACAACCCACCCATAAGATGACACTGCGAACGACAAACATTAAACGCTATGCCTACCTGGAAATCATCGTAGCCACCGCAGATGACTACCTTCGCCTTTCCGGACAGAATGGTATCCACACCAATCTCCACACTCTCGACCGCCGTGGCACAGGCACCCACAGGTGTCTTGATAGGTCCACTCGAACTCAGTAGCAACAGGTTGACCCACGCAGGCATGGTGTTGATAAAGGTCTCCTGCAGGATGTCGCCCTGCACCTGTTTCTCCACGAAACGGTCCTTGTAGATCTCGATGTTGGACTTCATACCACCCACACCCCCACCGGAGGTGTTGCCCAACTCAGACACGTGCACGTACTGGTAGAACTCGTAGGGATCGGTGATACCTGAGCTCACGAGGGCCTCGACGGTACTCACCTGGGTAAGTGGTGGACCGGGTGTATAAAAGGTCAGTACTACTGATAAAACAACCCGTGTGGACTAGCAACGTGAGGGGTCGTGCTTATTAAAAACTTACACAAGACCATTTAAATAGCGTAATCCATACACAGAGACATACCAGAACAAGCTTAAAACACGCACAGGTCATGAGCGAATAGCTTACCAAGTTGTACAGGGTGATGGGATCCACCTGTGCCACGATATCATCGGGCACACCGTAGCGCTCGGCCTTCCAGCCAGTGGGGATCTGTCCAGCGACATTGCGGTCGAATTGCAGAGCCTTGGGAATGTACAGCTGTGGAGAGTATATAAACAGGACGAATGCGGGTTAGACGAATGGTAATTTGCAAGTACTTGAAAGGCTCAAACCTAACCCCTTTCCCCGTATTCTCGGCGTTCGAAAGATGCAACAGGACAGGTCATGACGTGCAACAGCTCAGATCGTAGTCACATACCTGAGCGCCCTTCTTGAACAGACACCTCCACTCTCCATCCATATCCTTGAAGATAGTGACATCGTCACCGTGCTCGTGGGCGTACTCGAGGGCATCCTCTTCCGAACACTTGATGGGTCCGAAGTCGCGTTCTATGGCCACCTGTCGCAGGAACTGCTTCTGCTTTGGGTTGTAGCCGTCGAATAGCTCGGGCTCTACAACACGGATGCCGGTATGTTCCAATACCTTCTCCTCGTAGGTCGCTTTGATGTCCGTGTCTTTGATGGGGGCTCCGCTGCTCGTTTCAACCCATCCGGAATAGGCCTTGCCATCCAGAACACTGTGCACGCAGGAATGTTTAAAGTAAAGGTCAACTACGTTTAAGTAGAAGTTGATTAAAGTCAGGTTAATCTCACTCTTCGTGTGCACCGTGGTCTATGGCATATTCGTGTGCACGCCTTTTGGACAACAGGTGCAACGAGTGCGTGTCTACAACTTACCCGTTGAAGTGCTTCACATAGCCCATGATCCAAGCCAACTCAACACATCCCTCCAGCGAGAAAACGCCGTCCTTCTCCATTTCCCAACGCAATCTGCAATTGACAGGTGAAAGTGTTAGAATGAATGATTTCAACACAGTGTCAAACCGGTGTCAACCCCGATAAAAGGGACGCCAGCAAGGTACAGAAGAGATAGACCGACAGATAGAGGGTTGGAAAGGGTGCATATTGTGAATCTGCCAGGTAGCGTACAACCATACCACACCATAACACCCAGTCCAAACCAACACACACACACACCTGGCGTTGCCGAAGGGGCCCACCTCTCCATATCCAGTCACCACCACCACGCGATTGAGATCCAGCATCTCTCGCAGCTGCTTCATGTGCGTGGTGTCCTGCGGCACGCAGATGGGTGGGAACTGCGCCACGAGGTTAGAGCGGCGCTCGATGCTCGGTGTTTGCATGTATTCTCCATGCTCGATCTGTGTGTCTACCACCTTGTCCTTGGACACGGCTGCGTTCATCGCGGCGCGTTCGGTCAGAGTTGTGCGGGCCTCAGAGAAGGCGGTGTTGAGGCCTTCTACTGTGTCTAGGCCTCCGCTGAAGTCCGCCCATAATGGGTCGCGTACGGCTACGTCCACCAGGCGCTGGTGCAGGAGACCGGCCATGTTGTACGCCATCTCACCCGTGCTGAATGTGCGCACGCCCTGGTAGTAGAAGGAACAGAAGAGACCGGTGAGCACTTTTGTGAACTAGTTAACAATAACATTTCACATTTGGACCAGATTGAGTACGCCCACTGGCCGTAAGCATACACGAGCATATACAACAGGCGCACACGCTGAAAGGAGAAGCGTGACCAACTAACACTAACAAACACCAGATTGATGGGATGAGTCCTTACCAAGTCCTCGACGGCCCGAGCAATGATGTTGTTCTGAGACATCAGTCCGGTGCCACGTGTCCAGCCAATGACCACGCCTGTGATGGCTAAGTACTGGCTCCATCCCTCACTGCGCCACTTGTTGAAGAGAACCTCCAAACCAAGTTTAGACTCGGCGTATAGACCATCTCCGCCGAACACTCCGTGATTGGGCGAGAGCTGCGTATGATTTAGTTTGGGGGGGAGGGGGGGGGGGGAAGAATTGGATTCGATAATACGTCAGATGATTTGATACTAGTCCGCTGTCAGCTAAGAGGTGCGTGATGGCACAATGCCTACAGACAGGAGCTGTAAATGTGGACAACTCACAGTCAATATAAGTCACAGAAATCAGACAGACTGTGGTGATGCACTTACCGGCAGGAGTGCGAGTGTGGGGCGGGTGATGGACCCGATGGCCTCCTTCTTGGACTTAATTGCACCCAAAAGACGGGTCAAATTGGTCAACATCATTCGATGGGCAAGCTCAGATCTATAGGTAAAATCAAATAGCAGGATGAGTTCCGACCCAGCACACACACACACATGGTGATGTGTATAAAAATGCAACTAATGCCCACAAACACATAAATACACACGTAGACATGCACATGTGAACACACACCCACAGCTATCTAAATACGTACCGATCATCGATGTTGTCGATCTCGCGGCCGCCCTCGGATATGGCAGCGAAGGGGATGACGAAATCCAGATCCGTTTTCATGACGTCAAAGACATGGTCTACCAATTGGTGCACATCCTGGATTAAAATATGGTGTGATTGGCTGAGACTGCAAGCGTTTGTATTGGTATGCGTGTATGTGCTTATGGTATCTGGAATGGCTCTGAAATTGTGTTAGATATGACCGGCCTTCATTCATGGTGACCAATACAAGGTTAAACTCGTACCGATCATGTCAAAACGCGTGGTGGATTCCGACAAGTACACACAAGTACTTACTCACTGGTATAAGCCCTAAACCCTAAAACCCACCTTACATACACGTATACTAACACACGTACACTTATACCTACACATGCACACTTATACCTACCTGGACAGAGGCTTGGTTGAACGGCAGTAGCGTCAGCGCACTACCTTTACCCGCGCACGTCTCGTACTTGAAACGGATGTACTGTGTGGTCTTGTAGCTGAAGCTCGAACTGGTCACAATGACGTTCGCTCCGGCAGCCAACACTACATCCAGCAAAGACTCGCCGATGGAGCCCTTGCCTGTGATTACATTGATACGGCAGATTAGGGGGATGGATCGGATGGTGAGCCTTTTGTCTTGGTCAAGATGATGGTTGTGTACAAGTTTAATCGAGCGAGAAAATGCGAACTGGTGCGTTTCCTTATTTAGAGTGAATGTAACACCTACCTGCACCCGTGATGAGCACATTCTTGTCCTTGAGACAGAGTCCTGCATCCTGGATCTGCTGAAGCGCGTCCTGGAAGATTTTGGTGGTGTGCGTGTTATACTCCCACTCGCCGCTTGAGGTTTGGGTCTTCAGGGACAAACCAGGTTTTAATGCCGACTCCTTCTTGCGCAAAGCAGCGATCGCGGCGGACACCTTGGCCGCACACTGCATGGCCTCGATGCGAGCGCTGTGAGGAGAATTGGGGCTATTCTTAGTACACATAAGAGCTGCACATATTGCAGAGACATGAGCTATCTATACCTTCACGGACGAACATAGTACCAATATACTATGCAATACGTGTGCCCGAGTGCGCATGTGATTACAATAAAGTACTACCACCTTTCATTCGCATCGTAATGTAAGTAAAGGGAGATTTGAATCAATATACACGACATAACCACTTACTTCAAGCTATCCTTTCCAGGTGTTGGCGATGACGACGACATGTCCTCTAGCATGCTGACCAAGCCCTGCAAATAATACACATGATACGTTTCAATGGTTTGCTCAAAGACTCGAGCCAATTAAGCTTGTAGGGTTGTAGGGTTCCAATAGGGTTTTGAAGTATCGGGCAGTGGGGTATTTGAACCTAGACCCGAACCAGGGAACGGTTACGACACAAGTTTGATCTCGTATGTTTGCACCTCTGTCCCGTCGACACCCACGCATTCACTGTATTGCAGACCCTCTCCCACGCACGTGTGCATGTCCTTACCTGAAGTGACTCCGTGAGCTGGCTCTCGCTCTCCGCACTATCTTTGTCTTTCTCGGCATCTCCAGCCTTTTTGGCGGGAAGACTCATGTCCTCCAAGTACCGAGCCTCACGGGGCGTTTCTGTGTACACCAAGTCTCCGTTGTCAAGCACCTCACAGCTAGGTTGCTTGCTGAAGTGGCGTATGGTTTTGTGTGTTTAGTACATTGATCTTCGTCAGCCTATGTGGTGGGCATGAGCAGTACGAACCCTGTTGCCAATAGCAACACAACGCCTTGTATATCTAAATAACACTGCTCATACAAAACGTAAACGTAAACATGCGCACACGGAATGCTCCGGCATATAAACATACCTGTGAATCTCAGCCTTGAACACTGCAGAGGGCGCGGTGGCTGCGATCATCGCCACAGCCTCTTCCGCAGTGGTGTTCAGGAAACGCGCGAGTGTCTGTCCACGCTCCGTCTGCTCGAGATGGAATCTGAAGGTATTGCATGTACACAGTGATGTAATTAGCCATGACTGCATTGTCGATTGTGCTGTGTATGTGGCCAATGCCCGCGTGCAGGTGCTACAGTACAAGTACATACACTCCACCACAACACAGCTAGCTAGCTACCTACCGGACCATGGCAAGTAGTTCGGGGGTGTTGCGATTGCACAGCTGTGCCCAGCGCATGGTCAGCTGCTCACCCACATCACTCTCGCGTAGTTTGGCCATCTGAGCGGACGAGAGTGTCTCTGCGTTCTGCCCTGCTTGGGCGCGGCTGAGGAAATCAGCCACCTCGTGCATCAGCGCCACAAAGTCCTGTTGGGTTAAAGAAAGGGGTGTGTATGGTGTTGAGCTGAAGGTAAACGCTACGATGGTATGTCCTATGGGGTTAAAGAAAGGCGCGTGTATGGTGTTGAGCTGAAGATGAACGCTAGGATAGTATTTGTTAAATAGTACAATGTTCGCTATTATGGTGTTGTTAAATAGTGCCATGTGTGTGGACACAGGGTGTTAGTTTCCTATGGGCGTGGAGGGCTCTACATAGCAAGCAGTTATGCATACACTGAGAAGCTTCCTTACTAAGAATACCCCACGTCTGTACTGCTAGTAGCGTTAATCCATATGCATCACACTTCACAACCCAGCCCACCCGCATAGATCGCCTGTTTCTGTGGTCACGTACCTGTCTGACCCAATTCCAGTACGAGTCGTAGGTGCGCGCCATCAGAGCCGAGAACTTTGGCTGGATTGCATTGGTGTAGAACTCCCCATGCTCGTTCGACCATTGGCTGGCTTGCGCTTCCATCTCAGCAATCTGATTGGTCAGCTCGGCAACGCGTTTGTGACCCGCCTGTTCGTCTTCACCGAAGTACTCGCTGATGGCGGTTACATTGTCGCGTAACAGCTGTGCAGGTATATGGCAAACCATTTTTTCAGAACAAGAAAAAAAGCTGTGCCTAACAACCTGCACTTGTAAATGCACAGCAAATGTCAACCAGCAAGCGCATCGACGTGTCCGAAACACACGCACTGGTCCTAAACACAGCAAACTATTTACGTAAACGTACTATCCTCAAACAGAAAACGTACCTGTGCGTGGCGAGCGAGATCGCGTTGGTACGTGGCGCTCGAGTTCACATCGGCAATCGCCCCGCCCATCGCACCACCGCCACCGCCCCCTCCAGCTGTGCCGAGCGTGATACCTACCATGCCTGTAGGTAAAGTGTACATACATGTATGCGTGTATTAATATAGGGGTGTGTATGCGTGTGTGCGAGGATATGGAGAATGTACATACATGTATGCGTGTAGTATTATACGGGTGTGTATGTGAGAGAGAATATATGGATATAGGGGTTTCCATGCATATTGCCGAGTCCACGAAATTCCCGAGCACACGCATACATACGTACACGCACACCTACCAGCATAAGACGTCACCACTCCATCCAGGAATGTGCTCGCCTGGTCTTTGTCAGCCAAACGGGCCTTGGGCTCTAGGCCGGCTGCATGAAGCATAGCCCCATCCACCATAGTTGGAGTGAGTCCGTACTTGCCGGAAATGTACTCACGGCACGCACCCGCGCCAAAGCCTCCTGGCATCTTCTGGGCGACCATTCGGTTCACCAGCGCCTTGGTGACTTTTCCTGTTGGGGTGGATGGGTGGGACACGGTGGTTACGGTGTTGTCGATTGGGGTTAGGCGCAAGCGGTGCCCTGTTTACAACCCAGAAATGGCAGAGGCAACAAAGGGGGCCAGGCAAACCAAAGTACACATACAGTATTGGCTAAATATAAACGAGAAATAAACAGACACACGTCATGAACACAACAACATATATTCCCATACCTGGATGAGCAAATGGCGTGGCCACGGCGGCAGCCAATGACTCCAGGGTCTGCTCAGCAGGATCGCTGGGGATGTTGAAGTTAGTACCGAACTCAGCGGCCACATCACCCATGATCTCGTTGGTGAGGGTCGACTTGCCTTGCGCAATCTCCTTAAGAGTCGAGCCTCCTTTGACACTGACAGGTGACGCTCGCGTCTTGACGGCGATGATAGTCTGAAGAATCTCCAGAGCAGACACGGCCGACGGACCACTCGCGGCGGCGGCTGTGGGTGGGAGAGAGGTCGGGGGAACAGAATGAGACTAATATAGGCAAGGTCCGGGGGCACTAAAGTAGGACTGAGGTATGGGCAAAGGCTGGTGCGCTTTATTTCATTGATAAACAGGGAGATACATAAGCGAATACCGAGGGTGATTGTAGGGTATATATGTATGAAACAACCGGGAACATATCTGGTACTTATACGTATAAATCCGAAAGCGTAGCCTGAGAGCGAACATTTTACAAGACACGTGAAATGCATACCCGATGGCCCCGCACCCGCTACCATCTGTTGCATTGGTGCGCCCAGAGGAGCACTCGATGGCTTGCTCAAGGACACTCCACTCATAGCGGCATACAAACCAGCCGCTTCATCCAGCCAGGCATTGGCACCTGAAGGGGATAAGAAGTGGTGTGTTGAGCTGTTGGTAGGAAATTGAGCTTGGTCAACGAGCGTATAGGTGGAAACTGTTGCAAAGATACGAGGCACTAGAGTGAATACGCACATACATCGTCCATATACACATATACATATATCAACAAACTAACAACATACCAGCTTCATCCTTCACACGCGCAGCCGGCTCGACCGTGATGGCGTGCATGAGCGCACCCTCCGCACTCGACTCAGCCAAGCCATGGGTGTTCAGTAGGTAGGTCTTAGCCTTCACCTGTGTGAACCCAGCCGGCATTTTGGACGATAGACACTTGTTCACGCGAGTTGTTAGTAGCTTGCCGATACGGCCGCTGTGCTTGATCTTCTCGGAGAGTTCTGTCAGAGGCAGCTCTTCGACGCCCTCTGGGAAGGAGCTTGTGCCCATTTCCGCACTGATGTCGCCTATGTATGTGTGCATGTATGTAGGTATCTAAGTGTAAGTGTTTGGGAGAGGTCAATACGAGGGAATGGGTTATGCATACAATGAACCTCCACACTGAAGGTATATACACACCAAATCCAGAACCTCCACACCCCTGAATAAAACGAAGCACAGATACATGTATACGCATCTTAATCGCATGAACAGATCGGATATCTATCACATGACCAGTACAACGTACCTAGGATTTCGTTCTGCAACGCACTCTTGCCGCCAACCATTTCCTTGACCGACTTGTCCATAGGGATATCGCTCATCTTCTTCTTCATTTTAAGAGCAATGACACACCGCAGAGTGTCCTTGGTGGTGACGGGCTGAGAGATAGCAGGGCCTGCCAAATAAGAGCGGAATAGTTGGTAAGCACTCGATAGTTATACAGAAAATAGGCATGTAGACTTATCCATAATACGTGTGTATATGAAGATACATCCGGCTAACGTACATCCTTCCATTCATATATCCAAATATACATGCATCCATTCATATATACACATACATACATACATACATACACATACATACATATATACTATCCATTACACACATCCATATATATATATATATATTACCTTGATGGGCAGCAGCTGGTGCCGCAGCAGCAACGGGAGCCGCTGCCGCAACGGGAGCGGCCGCCGCCGGTGCCTGGGCCTCTGGCTCCTTCTCTTCCTCTCCCTCTCCGAGGAACTCAAAGTACAACTCTTGGCGATTCTTAGAGAAGGTCATAACCTATGCAGGTGTAAGGTGTGGTATTGTTGTGAGTTTCTCGATGGAGGACTACAGGCACTCTCAAATACTATATACCAAACTTCCGGGAGATATATATACGATATATATGTGTGTGTGTTGACGTGTCGAGAAAAGCGGATAACGCAAAGGCATATACACTGCCAATAGTGTTCACTGGCTCCCACCCACTGTCCGTGTGACTCACCTCTCTGTGCTGCGATGTCAGCTGATCGTGTCGCTTGTACTTCAAGGCCAAGGTACGGGTGAACATACCTGAGCAAACAAGGGATAGGACAGGTTAGACATGTATTAACTGCCTCAGCAAACAAGGAATCGCACAGGCCAGACATTTGGTTCAGCACGCCTTAGGCATCAGTAGATCGTATAAGCCAGTCCTTTGGTTAAAAAGGTCCACACAGATCCAACCACGTCCGAGGGTATAACAGTGCTACAGGTATAGGTATAGTTGGTCTGAAGCTGTGCGTGAAGATAGTAGTACTTACCCGCCAAAGTAGATGAGGGGCCGATCTCCACCAGACGTTCGGTACCTCGCTCACCCAGAATCACATCCTGTGTCTTGATCCATTGCACGGGTGAGGCAAACTGATAGGCCAGTAGTTCGACCAGTAGGCTGTGTGGTGTGGTGTGGTGTAGTTTGGTTAGGGCTGGGATAGGTATATGTATGTGAGCTACGCGTAGTAATACAAGGAACATGATGGTTTATAAAACAATATAACAATAAAACAGATATTCACAAGTATATCGCATGCATCAACCTGGATCTGTTTTACAACATACATGAATCCGGTGTCTTGACGCTGAGATGGCAGCAGAGGGCCGTCTTCCAATGCAATCGCCTTCAGCTCTGCACTCTCGGTCAGCTCGTACACCTCTTTACAGTACTCACGGGTCACTTGGAAGGGTTTGGCTGGGGAATGAAGTAGGCAAGTAAATAAGTCAGTACATACTGATAGAAAGACCTGTTGTTATCTAAGGAAGGAAAAAAATTAGCACTACACCACTATAGAGTGTCAATACGCGCGCTGCAAGAGTCACACAGCTCAGTACATGCACGCACCTGTCAAATTGGGGATGTACTTGTTCTCCAACAGACTCAGATCGACCTTCGAGTCCAGACGCTCGCGCAGATACACGCGGAAGGGGCCAACACCACTCAGCAAGAAGCGAGAGTGGAACGGCACATCAATGCCGGGAAGGGGAATGCAAGCATGGCCTCGTGTGAGCTGCACGCGTGCGCCATTGGATACCTCCAACACCCTCTCCACACACATCTGTATGACCGGCTTGACGTCCTCCTCGGTAACGTTCTTCACGTGGATCTTCTGTATCTTCATAACGTTCAACACTTGCGTGAGGGTCTCCAGACACAGCAGACTGCCGGCGGCTACGTACTGCTGATTCTCGACATTGAAATTGACGATCTCGAGCAGCGACGAGGTGGTGGTGCCAATGAGTGCGCACAGATTGATCTGTGGAGCGATGGGGAGAGAGGGGAGGCAGATGTAAGCAGGAGACGTGAATATATTTACGTATCTATATATAGCTTATAACATACAGCGGAAACACGAGAGTCAATAAACCACACGCATAGGTATCACCCAACACTCACCAGCTGTGCTTCTCCCAGGCCTCCGCCCACCCGCGACGGGTTAACGGCAATCATGCCGTAGTCACTGAGACCTTCGCTGTCACGCTTAACCGCGTACTGCATAGTCATGCCACGGTAGAACACCACATCCATCAAAGCCTCCACGCACAGCACATTGGCCACTGAGGCAAGCGCCGCATACTCGCCCAGCGAGTGTCCGGCAAAGGTGGTGTGGTTCTGGATCAGACCCTCGTGGGCCATGTCGTCGTACGCCGCCTTCTCGAAAAGCACCAGTGCGGGTTGGGTGAACTGGGTGGCGGATAGTAGTCCGTTGGGGTGCTTGAACGTGTGCGATTGGGTGTCGTTCGTGATATCTATAGGGCGCGCCGGGAACAAAGGAGAAGGGGGAGTATGTGAATAATAGAATTTAATAGTAATTAATGGTAAATTATTGAATAGTAAATTAATACTATAAAACAGCAATTAATACTACTAATTTTGATATAGTAAACGAGGACAGCCGATGCGGTGATGAGCATCAGATGAAGATATGACGAAGAAAGTACTCACCTGGGAACAGTGCGAGGTCCTCGGTCGATCCGTCGGGGTACAGCACACTGTAGCGCAGTGAGATGTAGAAGTCACGGATGGCCGCACCTTTCACGCCACCGAAGAAGACTGTTGGTAGAGTTAAAGTGAAAGAGGGGGGGGGGGGTTAATTACAAAGAACCGTCAGAAGTAATGTTGCACTGAAAGTGGTCCTATACCGAGAGGACTACAGAAATCACCACGCCATACTATAATCACATCTATGTATACACCACAAATACATCGCAAGACCTAGCACACACTTACCGGTGAGTTCCTTGGGGTTGTCCTGAACAATCGACAGAATACTGAACCCGTACTTGTCTCTGAAGTGCACATCGGCCTTGTCCCACAACGCCTTGGCCGTGGCACTCTCCTGGTACAACTCCATGCCCATACCCTTCTCCTGCGAGCCCTGACCCGTAAACACATACGCCGTACTGGCCTGCTGGACGTGTGCCACACCGTGCAGCACGCGCACATTGTCCTGGTTGTACGTATCCACGTTCACAATCATCTTTCCCTTGCTCATACCCACATGGGTCAGCTTGGTCTCCAGTCGGTCACCGGGCAGAACCATGCCTAAGAACTCGCTCATGTAGCTGCACACGCGGGAGGGCTGGTTGTCTGCCGCGAACACCTCCACCAGACGGCGGATACTCGCGGCCGTCCACATGCCGTGGGTGATGGTGCCGGGCAGTCCCACTAGGTCAGAGAAGTACGGGTTGACGTGGATGGGGTTGGTGTCGCCCGAGACCTTGGCGTACTGCAGGTTCTTGGGTGGCGCCGTGACTGCAAGAAAGAGGAGAATGAAATCGGATTTCGTGAGTGCCTGCGTGGACACAAGTATTGTTTTGCTTGTTTGTATGCTGACAAGTACAACAACAACGACAGATCAGACTATTTGTGATGTGCTCTATAGTACTGTGTGGTCCCGCACAAGCCGTCTTACTTGCCGCTGTGTCATGTACATGTGTACTTTGTTCTGGAAGCCACTAGGCAGGGCACCTACCTGTATTGACATAGGCATCTGATCGGGGCAGCAGCGAGTAACCACCGCCTTCGAATAGGGTCTCTTCCTCTAAACGTGATCCATGGCGTTCCAAGAAAGCTGTGACCGAGTTGCCCTTCACGTGCGTTCGTTCGTAGTAAACACTACCTACATCCACTGTGTCACCCGTGTCTAGCTCACGCACAACTGTGCCTTGGGTCTGCACGAAGGCAATCATATCGGCGCTCTCGTGCCTGGTGAGTGTGTTGACGTAGAACACCAAGGTCGCTCCGACCACCAAATTCTCGGGAGATACAATACTCAACCACGGCTTGGACTTGAGAATCGCCAACTCCTTGACACTGCTGATCTTGACCTCCACGGGCGTGTGCGTTTTCTTCTCGAAGGTACCGGAATAGCTGCAGAGAAAAGCGGGATGGGATGGGATGGGATGAATACCATCAACCATGTGATATTGTCACTGATGTATGTAGGTAGAAAACGGGGTGCTTGTAAGCGATGTGGAGTGATCTAGTGTGGTATGGAGACAACAAGGATCAACACAAAACAAGCTACTAGAGTATCCATAATATGTACAACACTACGTATGAATACGCATGCACACTCTACACATTACAGTAGGCAGCACACACCTGGTTCCCATCACACTCTCACGGTAGAAGAATGTCGAGGTGACCTCCATGTACGACTTCTCCTTGCGGTAAATGACAGCCGTGACACTGACAGATGTGCCGCCGTTTCTCTCTGCCTGCACCTTGGACACTTCGGCAATGGTTTCGCACTGATCACCCTCCATGAGCTGTGCGCGTTTAAAATTATGTGAGTGTGTGTGTGAATACACAGATATTGTGCCCATCTTGAAATGACCTGTATATACATCTACCTACCTACACAATCACAATCAATTGCAGATGTAAACAGAATATCTAAGCGTCGAGTGGTACTCATACGAATACATAATATATACCGGTACATACACATTTTATACCGGTACTTGTACAATCTACCGGTACATACACATTTCATACCGGTACATGCACAATTTATACCGATCTACCTACCTACACAATCAATTGCAGATGTAAACAGAATCTCTAAGCGACGAGTGGTACTCATACGAATACATAATTTACACCGGTACATACAAATTTCATACCGGTACATGCACAATTTATACCGGTACATGCACAATTTATACCTATCTACCTACCTACACAATCAATTGCAGATGGAAACAGAATCTCTAAGCGACGAGTGGTACTCATACGAATACATAATCTACACCGGTACATACAAATTTCATACCGGTACATGCACAATTTATACCGGTACATGCACAATTTATACCGGTACATACCGGGTCCTCCATAAGATCCAGCACTCGGTACGAGTTGGAAAGATGCACCAAATTCAACAAGTCGGCATCGACATTGGAGTTGAGCAACGATCCCATGATGGCTTTCCATCCGACCTATACGACAACATGGCAGGTGAGGGAGTTGTGCATAAGACGCCGTTGTATGAAGTTCGTGTAGGTATAAGGGCTTGTGACAGGACAAGTTCGGTACAAATGCCACATGCCACACTGATGGATATAAGTAACGGCGCAAAGAGCTGTATCGGATACTTACAACGATCGCCAGATCCATGGGTGCTTCCAACCGAGACTTGGAATCGCCGCCCCTGGTGTGGGGAATGACGCATCCTGTGGTAGCAAACAAAAATAGAACCGCAAACCGGTATATCAACATCATGAGTAAATGGCAATGCCGACGAAGCACAACCTCGCAGTAAGGAAGTAGATAGCAGCAGTAGGATAACACACACAAGACCACATACCAATGTGTAAAGGCATAGTAGCAAAAATAGATCACACACTCTGAAGTATGCACCTGATATGCGTATGCGTACCTTCACTCCGATTGTTCGTGGCGCGACAGAAGGACGTGATCTCGGCTGCTGTGATGGTATGTTGACACACACATCTAGCTGCGCTCACATCGCCTGCAGTGGCGTCTCCGGCATCGGCCGTGGGGATGGCCTGAGGCGGAGAGTCACCGAACCACATACTGGAATAGAACGCGTTCACATCAGCGTTGTGGTTGCCATCCTGTGATGTGGTTGGGTTGGTATGTTAGTGTACGGGAGAATTTTGCCTGAGATTTAAAGCGCGACGTATCAAGCCGCTTAGCACTGAGTAACTCTGATTATATCAAACCTAAGGGCGCACCAAAATGCTAAACACACACGAACACTCTTTGACTATATAATCCTACCAGTGCAGCGAATCCTAAGTACACGCGAACACTCAAACACCGCCAAAAACGATAACAACCATTTCCATGCAACGCGCAGTACAGACAAAGTCCAATGCGTTTAAGTGCTTACCATTTCTCGGACCGGTGCAAAGCGGCTCTCGGGCACATACTGAAACTTCAGAGTCAGTGGGACATAGGTTGTCGCACTCAATGAGCTAGGCGTGTTGAGCGTCACTTCAATGTTGACACCGTCTTGACACGACGCTCGCACGGCCGGTACTTTGTGTCCGTTGTACTGTGAAAATAACAGGCAAGGTGTGGTAGGTAAAAGTACATGAGCAACGATCAAACTGGTACGCAATACGGGACATGGTGCGAATACAAAGTATTGGACGTGTAGTAACATGTCATTATTGATGCAATCTTGACGCGACACGCACACGGCAGATTCCACATTAGTAAAAATAGACCTAAGTATTGTGCTATTAAAGAGGTACGCATACAACCGTACGATTGGATTCGCTCTCAAACACTCGAAACTCCCAACAGAACGTTTTAAGCAAGTACCTTCATTTTGGATGAGATACCCTGGTCGTAGATCTCCACACCCACCGGAGCGCCGCCATGGGCCGAGGTGATGCGGACCATCTGCATATATCGTTTGTTGTGTTAGCGAGATGGCAACTTGTATGTTATCGATTCGTATGTGTGTATATATATGAGTGTATCATTGACGTATACTACTTGAACGTACATAGTTTCGTACTCGTGCTCGTGGATGAAGCAACATGGTACACACTTAGTCCTACGTCGAAATCGGTACAACTATATACGAACCACTCCTTTGATCAGTGGTTAAGGCCAATACGCTAAAAGCGAAAGCACCAAACCAAACCTAAACACCTAATATACCAACACAGACAAACCCACTATCGTTGCTCGCATCAGTGCCGTGAGCCACCCTCACAGTACACACACTGCGCCACACACCTGTCCTGGTCGCGGACGGAACAGTCGGGCCATGTTGTTGGTCTGTGTCAGCATCGACCCCTTGAGGATCGCAGAACTGCACAGAAGCGCACGCAACCACGTGTTGGCGCCCTGGCAAATGTGCTCAAACCACAGCGCCGCGTCGGGTAGCTTAGTGCCTTCGCGCGGCAGAGTCATCTGTCGCACGGTGGGAGTGCTGGCCGTTTGCACGCCAACGAGAGGGGGTAGTGTATGTGCCTTGGCAAGGGACACGCCCAGGCCGTCCACGACGGGGATGTCTGGAGTGGATGTGTTGGGGTGTGTAGGTGTGAGCATATGGTACGTACTTCATCGTACCGCGTGCTCGGGGGTACCGTACCGTTCGAATGCATTACGACATGTATTGTGTACAAGGGTGTAGATGTATGCATGTATACGTACACAAAGCACACTTATCCACAAGCAAAATACCTTTGGAAGACTTCGAGAGCGAGCCTGACAGGGTGGAGATCATATCCGTGTACATGTTGCCCAGTAGCTCTGCAATGGGTTGGTTAGGCACAGTGCTGTAGTGCGCTGCGACGGGTCCTTGTAGGATACACACACGCTCAACGTCTTCACCCACAACCGCATCGAGGTCCTCACTCATCCAGAGCGAATCCTGTGTGAATGCGTTATATTTAGTACTAAATCAATATCATGCGAATTCAAGCCCAGATCAAAAAGACTGATGTCAGGCCAAAATGCATCCAACATTCTGAAATCAGGATCACATCTGTTGAAATCAGGAGTACAAGGAGCACATCCATATAAAATCAACTTCACACCTTCTTAAAATAAGTCTTGAAGTTCTCGTCGATAATCGGGATGAAAGGCACTGGTTTCTGGCCGCGCCTGTTGCAGATGGAGACGAAGAAGTGCACATCCTGTGTGGACATGAACTGGGTCGACGCCATACTGAACTGACTCAGCAAACGCAGTGCGTTCTGCATCGGGACAGACGTGGAACTATCACAGCTATCTTCGGGAATATCCGCATCCAGAACAAAGCTGCCGTCCAGACCAACGGGTGTGGTGGTCCCGGAGAAACGCTCAGCCGTGCGTACCAACATATCGTACACACACTGGCGGTACGAGACGTGCGTCCAGCGACACTTCTTGGAGATGTACATGAGCTCGATCATGCGTACAACCACCTCCTGGTAAGTCATCTCGTTGACATCCACAGCCTCGCCGCTCGCCTTCTTGCCGAAGAAGACCTTCTGGAAGTCCTTGTTGAGCGCGTCGATGATGGCACGCTTGTCCTTTTGGATGGCTTTGATCATCTCGGCCTTGGCCAGCGAGAAGTATTGCTTGTCGAATCGCTTCCAGAGCATGATACCTCGGGTGGCAACCTTAGTGACACAGGCGGAAAGAATGGAGACAACGAACATACCGGTCAATAAGAATGCTTAGGTAGTCATCGTATGTACATTTCTATTCATAGCCTTCTAAATTAAACAAGGCTGTGTTATAACAAGTGTTCTCTCAAAACACATAAAACAGTCAACACGATGTAGTATAACACAATTCATGTCAGTAGCAAAGCCTTATGCAACAAGCTTGCATGTGTACATGTATACACACATACACACCTTGTGAATAGGCTCTCCAAGCTCGGACGTGACTGTCGTGATACCACCCACAACGCCCTCGTACGTCTTCTCCCAGGCCCGCTCGTCATTTAGTGGAATACCTGGTGTCTCGTGACACAATCTGAGCTTCACGGCATCGGATGTGCGCGCCTCCTTTGCGACCATCACACGCGAACCCATAAGCACACCGTCGAAGGGCATCAGCGGATAGTCAAAGCATGCACTCCACTCACTGTGAGGCAGAATAAGGTATGTATGGATGCGTGAGTACAGACTAACAATTGGTATAGCTTTGCATGTACGACATGTGGTGTGTGTGCCTCACCGATCGTATATACACATACTGTTGAGCAGTAAACTATAACTTCGACCACGCCGTTCCTGTGCACACGCGGTACAATTACGCGTTTATTAATGGCTGCGATACGTACGCACAACAAATACAGCCACATGCACACAAACACACACACACATAAACACACACAAAGCAGTACAATACCACAAAATACATGCGACCACATCCTCTCTCAAACTTGACCTACCCTGTAAGGAACGGCATGGCGCTGGTGCTGTCTCCAACACCACTGCCAGCCACGAGCACAATGTTCTTGCGCTTGCGGATGGTGGCGTATGTCTGTAGGATGGGCTGGTGGAAGTCCTCGAAACTGTGATGACCACCCGCACGGCCACCGGTCCACTGCATCAGGATGGGCATATCGGGATTGCGCTCTGGAGGGTAGTGATAGTAGGTGGTGGGTAGTGTGCGTGTGAGCGACGCGTTGTGTGTATTATATGTGTAGGGAATACGATTATACGTCGAGGTGACAAAGATACACATACATGTTTGCCAAACCTTAAACCCTAAAGATATTGCACCTAGACATATACATGTATGCCATATAGTATTCGTACGAAAGTAAACGTCTATACACTACATACCGGCAATAGCGATCACCTCCTTGATGGCACTCACGGATCCGGGCTTGAACGACATGTGGCGGATGCCTGCTTCGAGACAGTTCTCGATAATTTCTGTGGCATTATCGATGGACGGGACACCGGCTGCTACGCAGATACCTGTATGCAAGTAGCGTTTGTTTCCGTTTTAAGTAATCGTTCATTTCCGGGGATTGCGCATATCCATGAAAGTGTGTAGTTTTGTATACGCTAAAATGCGAATCTGTCCCAGAGACGCGGGTTTGTATGGGAGTCTTGGATAGGGTAGCCTACACGAAGCAGACACTTCAGCAAGGGAGGGTACTGGTTTTTCCCACAATAATAGATGCCACTACCATATACATACGCCTCCTATTTTTAGCACGGTTGAGTTTTTGGTCATGTACCTTCAATGGGATAACCCTCTTGCCGCAGACGTCTGAGCAGAGGATACTGGATACCCCATTGGCGGGCATTGAGGAACAGTAGATTGACTGAAACACTCGATCCGGGCGTAGTGTTCGCAATGATTTGGTCAATGGTGTCTCGCAGCGACTTTTCGTTGTGGTGACCGCCACCTGTTACGATATAGACAGGAGTGCGCGTGTGAGGGTGGTGCGTTGATATTACACAAGGTCGATCTGGTATATCATTCGAGCTATAAATATATATATATATATATATATATATAAATGCAAGCACGTGTATGTTGTAGTTTCAAGGCCTATTATACTGTCACGCACTTGCGACAGCCAGCATGCAGCTAACCCTCTCCCACACACAAATCCAAAAACCATACCAATCGAAATAGAAACGTCCATACACATACCCGCAAGCTCGCAGTGGTATCCGGCATTGATAATAGCCGATACAAAGTGTTCGTTGACAGTGGTGGGTGTCATTCCTGCGATCATAATGGGTGGTTTGCCCAGGAGGGTACTCATGCGTGTCTGGATGTGCGTCTCCTGAGTGCCGGCCACCTTCACCAACTGCGGTTTGTATTCCTCGGCCCAGTCTGGCGCGTAGTTGAGTGCACTGGGATCGGCTTTGGGAATTCGAGTGTAAAGATTGTGCGCGTTAAGACATACGCCCAATAGATTATTTGTGACACAAGCAGCGAGATGGTGGCATTTGCTAGGACAATGGTACAAAAGATAGGACACCTCTGATCAGACACAAGGCATTAATGAGGCAAAAGTCCACAAACCTGCTACACGGGTGCAATGTACAAATTTTGAACCCGTCGAGTAAATAGTACATGCTTGTGTTTATATCTACACTCACCTGAGAAGGCCAGGGCTTTGCTGCTGATATCGGGGTCGGTGGTGGTCTCAGCGTCCATAAGCACGATACGCACACCAGTTCCCATTTTGTTACGGTGCAGAAGAGCCCCAACGCCACCCATACCTCCCGGACCAAACTCCAGAACATGCGTAACTGTGGGTGTGAAAATGGGATGCGACAAATGTTATATACGTGCCAGGCAGGAAAACATTCGTTTTAGATGAACTCTCTTCTCCCGTCAAGTACAGTACAACACAGCTAAGAAAATAGGACCAAGCAACGCACAACACTCTCACACCGGGATATAAAGCAGGTATTCCCGGCTTTCAACATCCAACTCGCTCACTTGAAACGCATATCCACAGATGTGAGATATAATATATTCGACTGCGTCCACTACCGACCTATACAGACTTCAAGTGACGCCAGCCACATACAACATTACAGGACGGGTAAGATCTAGCTAGTTGGCACTTACCCTTAGTGCTTGTCGACGAGGGGAAGTCGACGGGGTGCACACAGATAAGAGCCGCGAGATGCAGCGACAGATTGTCCTTATCGCGCAGGTCTGAGCCGTCGTGGGTAGACCAGGTGGGAATCTCGAGTTTACTGGACCACTCGAGATCTTCGCGTTCGATATCGATTTTGATACTATCGAGCACGGGCTGGTTGTGGAGATATATGTGTCATTTGTTTCTGATTTAGAATTTTTTTGTCGTGCTTCCTCACGCAGTTGTCTGCTTTGTAAACATGACACTTTCAAATGCATGCGAGTACTTCTTAAACATTATTCTTGCTCCATATGAAGCACATACTAAACTAACCCCTAAATCCCAACCCTTAAAACCCTTGCACGCGTATGTATAGACTTTGTTACAAATTGCAAACAACGTACGTCCGATATGCAACTTACCGCCAAATAAGGGGTGTGGAAAGGAGCAGTCACCGGAAGGTACTTTGATGTGAACACCTGCTTGCGCTGCGAGAATGGGATGCGGTTTTGGTTGTCGTTCTTCTCCGCCTTCAGCGCTCTCAGAGTCACCTACAGATAAGTTACGATTCATAAAGGTTTTTAGATTCAGCACAAGATTGTACATCTGAATGGAACTTACCATACCATAAATTCTTACACTCCCCGATAGAACAAGCGCATGATTCTCGACCCGAAAACACTGCACTAAGTGCGATTGACCCCACACGGTCCAGTGCAAGATAGTCCACGTATGTACTTTTCGCAACGTATAGAAACCATTTTTGCTAACCCTGCCCCGAATTTCATTGCTATCTTTCACAGAGGCACACACACCACAAAGACATTTACATTTGAAACACTCCACCTTACCTGCAAACCATATAGCGACTGTGGATGCCCGGCTACAACCACGGAACGAGGTCCGTTGATCAGTGCGATATTCAGCTGGCGATGGTCTGGCAAGTGACTGTTAGCCTGTTCTACTAGCTCAGCAACAGTGTGTGTTGGGAGGAAGGCAACAGCCAGCATCGGTGTGGGTGTAGCCTGTAATGTACAGTATATATATAGATTTGTGGTTATTGGAGGCCTATGAAAATGTCTGACCTTTGTGTGCAAGTGGCAATGGAGTGATTCAACGTCGATGTATTTGAGTAGTAATTCGCTAAAATGTACACATACTATAGTTTTTCTGCGGTAGTGGCGTGTGTGCACATGTGTCTGAATGGTGCGTGAAGACTTAGCTGCATCGATATGCGCATTCGTACATGCCATATATGTAGACTTATTAGAATAGACACTCAACGGTATACTACGTAACTGGTGAATAAATACACATCTTTCCTGTATGCACAACTATGGCTACACAAAGACATTCACACACTCCTTCTGATTCCTCCGATATAAGCACCAACCAAGACAAACACATCGATTTAATGATTAATCCAGAGCAAGCATGCTTATAATTCACACAAAGCAAGTTTAACTCGCCATCAAATTTTACGTATCGCACCATCACAGGCACATTTGAAAGTATGCTTTCGCGTTGGGTAAGAATTGGACATACCTCATCATGTTCGAGGGAATCGGCCAGCAAAGTGGGACTCAGCGTTGTCAAAGGGTAGCTCAATTGGATACGGGTTCCGATCCAGAACAGTAATTTCTGCATCGTATATAGTCGAATTTCATGTATTAATATTGAGAGTCTGAGTTCGTGGTATAGTATTTCTAGACGATACGGGATTTGGATCAGCAATCGCATGCATGTAGGTACTTAATTTAAATTTAGTCATGAATCCACTTACCAGTGCTTTGGTCCAGTTGCTTAGGAAGGCGGTCTCGTCCATTGACGATGATACGACTACTGCAGCGATCATACCCTGACTGTGGCCAGTAACTCTATATTTCGTACAAAAATAGACAGCATAATACGATGTGAGTAGCGGCACAGTATATATAATAATTCTAAGCTCGGAAGACCTGTAACGATGGGCACGACACTTTAGGAGTGTAATTTCGAAGCCCACTGTATACCAAAATACTTGAATTGACGTATGTTGGACTTAAATAAAACACATACCCCATCAAGAGTGATAGAATCTCGCTCGGTTCGACCCTGAGCACGTGGAGCATCACCCAGTAGTGCGTGAGCTGTGTCAAGCCAATGAGTGCACTGCTAACGGGCGTGCTCAGTAAATAATCGATGCTGGGACGCGATGTCTTGTCTTCCAACCACAGCTCGACATCAAAGCCTTGCGCGTGAAGACCCACCTGTGCGAAAGACGATATTTCTATCAGTTAAAATGCACGTCACCTTATTCTTCGAAGAGATACTATCCGATTATAGTGGTGGGAAAGTAGAAACCAGACACACAGTGCGACAGTGTTTACAGACCTCTTTTGCTTCATCGGTGGATGCGCAATCCTTCAGCACCTTGCACATGGACAAGACAGTGTCCCGGATCTCTGGGTAGGTGGTCAGAGCTTGTTCTAGTTCATCCAGTACAGTACTTGCACCTTGTCCGCCGAAAAGGGCACTCACTGAGGCCTAAATATACAAAACAGTTTTGTTTAAACCAAAATTGAGGGCATTGATACATATTTGTCGTACAAATGACCTTTTCGTGTGTAATATGCGGTTTTAGTTTGCTTCTGTGGTATTTGTTGTTGCGCTGTTACTTATACTGCAGATTGAAATACCATATCTTCCGGGCGTGAACTGGGACCTTGGCAATTTGAACCATACTGAATCTTACTGATTTGATTATCCAGATGTGCATTATTGCGACTACGATAAAAATTACCTCACTGATATCGAACTCTAACGTACCTTCCCATTCTTGACAGCGTCAATTAGTGCGTAGTTTTCTGACGCGTGCAAAGGAGTAGTTTTTCCATCAATAAGCCCAGCCACACACAAGCGAATGTGCGCTTCGCCGCACAGTCGGATCAATTGTACTCGTGTATCCACGTCCATAGCCGCGGTTTTAGTGTGCACACCCTTCCCTTCCAGGTGGACGGTACAAAAACGCTCATACACAACGTGCAGAAGGGGTGCAATCGCAAGACCCTCATCTTGGGTTTGATAGTCCAACACATGCTTGAGGAAGCGATGATGTAGTTCGAACGAGCTTATTTCAATGTCCACAGCATCCTGACGTAAAAAATGTAGTGTGCAATTTTAATTTCACTGTCTAAAGGTGTATCTCATAAGAATTCTCGTAAGCATACACAGCGGTGTTTTGGGACATTTAAACCGACTGAAGATCACAACCTTCAAAGTTAGGTGAGACTATTACATACCTTTAGCAGGCTCTGATTAAAATCGCGAATTAGCAATTCTGCGGTTTCGCGAAGTGGGCCGGGCACGGGAAGACCAAACTCAGCTTTCCCATAACTGATCTGTAAGTGAGCATGGATCAAAAGCGATTAATTTCGCAATATCAATGCATTCAACTTCAAACTAACACGCAAAATACGGTCAATGAAAGTCCTTATGAAATAGGGATATTCACTAGAGCCGCTTATCATATTAGAGTGCACATGTAAAAGTGTGCTCGAGGTCACTTAAAAAATCATCAGCAAGCAACAGCTCTATAGTACACGTAGCACATCTAATGCCCTAGTGAAATGGGGATATTCGCTATAGCCGCTCATCATATTAGATAGTGTGAGCATGTAATAAGTGTAATTAATGTCACTTAGACAATCATCGGCAAGCAACAGCTCTATAGTGCACGTATCACATCTAATTCATACACGACACGATTACCTTGATAATCCGGGTTTCTATATTGTAAGGTAGATAACTCATATTGTAAACAAACTATTATTCTTCACGTTGAGGATCTGAAGCTAGCGCGATGAAGGAGTCCTTGTATTTATCAGCTTTATCAGAGTACACGACTGCGGCTGTCCGAAGCTCTGAAAATTGGAAAGACAAATATTGTCTAGCTAGCCTGTATTTCAGATGAGATGGTATTCGCTGCTAGGTTTTATTCATAGCCTTGTTGGATTTAGAAGGCAGCTATGTTTTTGGTTTTTTATTATGTATCAAGGGCTGAAAAATTGTTGTTATGAGCGCAGAAGAAAAAAAATATAGCTATAAGCCAACCATGTAAACTTTTTCCCCCATATTCAGTTGACACCGTGCATCGGGACATGACCATTCGCAATACTTACTGGATAAGTGTCGATGACACTCGCGTGTATACTTCGGAACTTCTCACTAGCGGTACCTTTTTCGTGGAATTATCCTAATTCTCAAATTCGGCGAGTATTAAAATTCTGTAACCGATATATATGTTCCCGATGTTTGTCCATACCAAGTAGGGCCAAGGTGAACTAAATCCCAATCTATTCCGATTTTATTTTGGAAAATTGTATTTTTTTAGGAATTGTTTGACACTCATCATCGTATTCTATTGTGACGTTGTCATAAACAAAAGTCCGTATTGAAGACCATCTGATCGACTCTATCCAATACTGTATCCGATAAAAAGGTGACCTACATATTCATCATCAAAATTTGTGAAAATCCTGGCGCGTGTCATCAGCTCGTGCTGTGTGCCTACGCATAGTTTTTGTAAAATTTAATATGATCTTCATCCAAAATAATTTAAAATAATATCTGCGTAGGGATTTTCATTGGTTTGTGACAAACTTTGAACTTTTTCTAAAATATTTACGATAAACATAAATGTGTCTATTGGCTATTTTCAAACCCTTACGACAAAAGACAAGAGTAGAGTCAGTGAATCACTCAGAGTCAAAGGCTCCGTCTCTCAGACTCTCAGTGTCCGGTCTACTACTCTCTCTCTGAGCGACAGAGAAACTCGCCCGCTCTCAAGTCTCAGGCCATAGGGCACAGGGCACAGGGCACAGGGCCTCAGGCCTTCAGCCCTCAGACTCCTCAGAGCCTCAAGCTTAGGCCCAGGCGGTGTCTCTGCAGTCTGTAGTCTGCAGTCTACGTGAGCGGTGAGGCCCTGAGACTGCGGTCTCAGGGCTTGAGCCTGGAGAGTTGAGGCCTGAGGACGAGGATCTGAGGCCAAAGCCGTTCTATGGCCTGAGCCTTCTGAGGCCTGAGCCTTCGGCCTCCCAGACCCAGAGAGTCTGACTCACTGAGTCTCTGAAACTGGAGCCTGGAGCCTGGAGCCTGGAGGTCGAGAGTCGAGAACGCGAGACTCACGATTAGTGTCACACACAAGAGAGAGTGTGTCTGTCGTCGTTGTCAGTCACGGTCACTCGGTCAGTGTCGAGTGTCGACTGCTCAACTGTTATGCTGTTTTTTACTAAAAAAACGACGAACGGACGACGTCCGCGACGATTATACTATTTTGGATTTTCGAGAAGCGACATCGCCACAACTCAGCCGCAGGCCGCAAGCCGTTATTTCGGTACATATTTATATATTTATTTGATGATTTTAAAACTTTTTTAGGCAGGTTCGGGCCGCGTGGGCGGCTCGGCTCTCTAATTTATTTAAATTTTCAAGAAAACAGCTAAAATACGATTATGATATGATATGGTAGTTGGTACTGTAATGGAACGCTTCGGAAGTTTGGCGGCTTCTCCTAATCGGCGCATTCGGCCGGCATTGTTCAATGTTCAGCCTTCAGAGTATAAAAAAAAAATTTGTCAACAACAATCCTTTTTTCTTTTAAAAAACGTTTGCATTTCTAGTTGTCTACTCCAATAATAGAGAACTTTATATATGCAGCTAAATACACTCGCATACATTGCAATACAATCTGGTCCTCTACTAGGTACTATTTAATTTTGGAATACGAGGTTAACTTTATTTTAAATTAGGTATAAATTGCGCAGAATAATACCGTCTGCTTGCACTATTGTTTTTCAGCGTTCGCAAGTGACATTCAATAGAAACAAACTGCGTGTATACTGCTCTTACGTCATTGGCATCTGCACATTATCCTGGCATCACAATACTGTGCGAGCGTGAGTAGCATCTACGAATGGGGCAAGGTTGTCTTTACATTGAGACTATTGAGTCAGAGAGATCAATAGAGTTGCATACTTCATATTTAATGCGAATATATTCTGTTGAACTACTTAACCATTTGATCACTCTTCCAAGTATATCGATTTTTTTTCAAATCCGGACACATTGAAAAAATATAAAGCTACTGCACAATATTCGAGATAGATTTGATATGATATATTAGCGGAAGTGCATAGTTGCAACCCAGAAGTAGTGCTATACAATCTTGTTGTGTTCACCGTGACTCGCTATTATTTCCTCAACGTGCGTTGGAAAAAATCCTAACAAAGTCAGTGCCATGATGTTAAGCAACTGTAAAAAACGACATAGCGTGGCATTGAACTACCGTACTTCATCGTCGAAAAAGCATTGACATACATGAGATGCACTCGCTATATCATAGAGCATTTATGCGCTATGCAAGCAGTATTTTCGGACTATGTAGTTGTATTCTTACTGAACGCGTGAGCATGAAATCAGTGAGATTTCTCAAAGTCTCAATATTAAATATTTACACTATTTATTTGTATTTGGTAGAGAGAGTCTACTAAATAGAGTCTACTAGAGAGAGAGAGACTAGAGAGTAGACTCCTGATATATTATAAAAAAAGATTTCTCGAGATGCAAGATAGCCTAGATAGGGCTTATGGCTTTTTGGGGGTTCAAAATGTATTGCAGAATTTGCAGTCGAGGTCTTGATTTACTTGAAGTATGGAACTGGATTCCGGACTTATAAAAATGTAGTATCAACGTACATACAGTCATACCTCTGAATATGTTCAGTTCCCGGGATTGGCAAATATTTTGACAAAGAGGTAAGACAAGTCTGGGTCAGTTTCATACCATCAGGTTCGGGGTCCAGCCTATGGGAGTATGGGTCACACCAGGAGGAATTCTAGGCGCTCTCGTTAAATACTCCTTCCCTTTCGTCTGACATACACTAAAACCAGCTTCTCTAATCTTTACTGACCCACTCAATCAAACGCTTCTCGAGTTTCTCGATATTTCTTTTTTGCATGTACCTCATTAGACTGACTGAGTATCTTCTCTCCGGACTCCATGAACCTTCTTATCCCCTACGATAGTTGTCTTTCCATGATAGGTCTAAGCTGTATTCCGCTTTCTAGATTGTACGCACGATGACACCTTTATCTTTGTTTGTTAGATTGATACTTTTTGTTGTATTGGAGCTCACCTTTAACAATACTGTCTGTTTATATGTTTTCTTCTTCTTACCAACAGTGAGCTTATCTATTATCATACTAGATACTCCTTTCATACTAGACGGTACATCCTGCTTGTGCGTCGACTGTGGTTTCGATCCGCCTGGTTCACTCGTTGTAGGTGCGTTTTGTGTCAATTCGTCTGGCTCTGTCTGTCTGTTATTAGTGAAACCAGACTCCCACATGTCATTCGGTGGCTGGCATTTATCTGCAGACAGCCAGTAACCGATTGAATTTGAGCTATACCCCTCACCAAGATGCACGCCACAAAAGGCATGCATACCTCGATCGCAACCAGCACATTTGTGTACACCGTCCACTGGGTGCGTTGTAGTGCATCCTTTCGCACAACAGCGTTCACCACTAGAAGTGTCTCCCATCAGGATCTATTGTAGTACGTACTCTAGTGTATGTATTGTAGATAAAGCTACCGTCGGAGGTGAAAGGTGACATGAAACCCTCCAAGAGCAGGCTGCAGGACCGGCCTAAAAAGACCTGACTCATATATAGGGGGTTAGAAATTGGACATATAAAGAGGTAGACACTTTAAAGAGGTGGACATATAAAGAGGTATGACTGTAGTGGACTTCTGAAATATGAGGACTGCTGGACTGGAGCCTCTCTCTCTCTCTGTAGAGAGAGAGAGAGACTTGTCTATCAACTATGCTACCCGGTTTTTTGCCCAATTGGGCTGCCATCTCTTTTGAGCCTCATCCATAGGATCATAAGGGTCTAACTTTATGGACACGGGACCGCTGAGGGTTTTTGAATAATTGTTCCTAAAATATGATTGGCTATTCAAAACAGACTATTACTAGCATCTAAGAGGCAAAATCCTCTGTGCGAAGACCCGCTCAATTGGGCTAAAATAGCACAATTGGGCGGATGGGTAGGATAGAGTATAGACATGTCTAGAAAGTAGACGTGGTAGAGAGAGAGCCTGGTGGCCTGCTGCGGCTGGAACCTGCCAAGTGCCAGCCTGGACTCGGGACTCCTCTGGAGCCTGATAGGTTAGAACTTAACGGGGACTGGATGTAAAATTGTATTTACAAAAATATAAAGAGAATGTGGAAAAGTTTACAAGTCAGAAAAATGATAAAGGAGGCTATGTAAATAAATAGACCGCCGGAATTTGGTATTTCATGTTTTTTTTAGTATCTTTTTTTTTTGCCAAAATCTTTTTTTTAAATTTGTGTTTTTAAAAACAAAATACTCACAGTTTAGTTTTAAAAAAATTGGGTCCAGAGAGAAAAATGTATTTTTGAAAAACTTTTTGCCCAAAAAAAAGTACAATTTAGAAGGCTATGAAAAAAAGATAGAAAAGGGCTTGAGTTTCTTCAAAATACATAGGAGCCTCTGATTAAATAGAGAGTAGACTCTCCCCCTGTGGCCTGTGGAGGACCCCCGGTGCGAAGAAACTTTTTTTTAATGAAAACATTTCAAAATATAAAAAAACAACTATGTATTTCAGGTAGATAATTAAAAATTTGCCCCCAATTTTATAAAATAAATATTATTTTTACTTTTTTTTATATTTAGATCGCTGGATCGGGTAAGTCAAGCGGAGTCACGTCACACGACTCACATTCTACAGACTTCACTTTGAGTCACGACCTCACGATGGTCGATGGGTCCAGTAACGCTGTGACGGTGTGTGAGTTGTGAGTCTGTCTTCTTGTGACGGTGAGAGTGTGAGACTGTGAGACTGTGAGACTGTGAGTCTTCAGTCTTGAGCCTCATTGAGGTGTGTAAATAAATAAAAATTGTCATCAGTGATCACTG